AAAAAAAAATATATATATATATATATATATATATATATAATCCTAAGTAATTTAAATAATTTACTCACCCTTTTTGTGGTGTGCTTTTGTTGTTTTGGATCCAATTTACTTTAATTTTAACTATTTAAACTTTCTTCAAAATATCATCTTTTGTGTTCCGTGTACTTTTCTGTTGCGTTCAAAAGAAAGTAAATCATACAGGTTTTGACATTTTCACATTTGGGTGAACTATCCCTTGAAGCATTCTTATTTGGCTTTACAACATTATGCTGCATCTTAGTCTGTTTTAAAAAGAGAAAGTGACGCATTCATTTGAATGCAGGAGATGTGCCACGTGCATGTTGCCGGCACAGACGTGCGCACGTATGGCTCGGTGATTTCCTGAGAAAAGTATAAATAGAAATGTGTTCCCGGCTCCTGGGAGAGGAAAGAAGGGTCTCCATCCTTGAGCCTTAGAAATTGGCCCTCAGATCGGGATCCAAAGTCCCAAGATCCAAAGATTTTTTTATTGCAGTTGTCATCATCTGCTCAGGTTCTGACTCGCGGCTGCATTTTGAACCTCATCATTGATGTTTAAAAGACAGGAGATGCAGAAGAATGACAATATTGCACTTTTGAACTCAAAACCTTGGCTCTTACTATAGTCAGGCCTGTTATGTAATGTTGGAAAAATGGCGTCAGGTGTAGCGGGACACAAACTCAAACTGGAGGACTCCTCCCGAGGTTTCAGGTCACACCCCGCACCTGTCGCCTGCCACATAAGTGCACGCACCTCGGTTAAACATTAGCTTTTGACCTACATAACAAACACCCAATGTGTGTGTGTGTGTGTGTGTGTGTGTGTGTGTGTGTGTGTGAGGGGGAAGTGTGTTTGTTAATTCCATGACCTATAAATATTTACACACTTTTTCAGACTTTGTCACGGTCTGTGTTGTCCTTGGAGATGTTCTGTGCACTTGAAGTTAGACGTGTGCATAGCTCTGTTTTTGCCCACGGCCCTCTTGGTTACCGTAAACTCAAAACAGCCCCTCAAGACACGAGCAGACACACACGAGCGTAATGAAGAACAACAGGTGTGGGTGCTATTACTCTAGGCATGTGAGAGTGTGTCTAAAGCTGACCTCGGCTGTATTTACATCCAGCTTATTTAACCCTGTAAAGCCTGACATGAAATAATAGTCAGATAGTTTTTTTCAGTAGTTTTTTTTAAAGGATCAGTTTATTGAAAGGCTATATATATATATATATATATATATACACACACAAAATTTGGTGTGTGTGTGTGTGTGTGTGTGTGTGTGAGGGGGAAGTGTGTTTGTTAATTCCATGACCTATAAATATTTACACACTTTTTCAGACTTTGTCACGGTCTGTGTTGTCCTTGGAGATGTTCTGTGCACTTGAAGTTAGACGTGTGCATAGCTCTGTTTTTGCCCACGGCCCTCTTGGTTACCGTAAACTCAAAACAGCCCCTCAAGACACGAGCAGACACACACGAGCGTAATGAAGAACAACAGGTGTGGGTGCTATTACTCTAGGCATGTGAGAGTGTGTCTAAAGCTGACCTCGGCTGTATTTACATCCAGCTTATTTAACCCTGTAAAGCCTGACATGAAATAATAGTCAGATAGTTTTTTTCAGTAGTTTTTTTTAAAGGATCAGTTTATTGAAAGGCTATATATATATATATATATATATATACACACACAAAATTTGGATTTTTTTTCTTTGAGTATCATATTTGATACATCAGGCTTTTATGGCTCATATACAGTATGATATAGTAGAATATGTATCTTATACTCTAGGAGGAAGAAATACCTCAGTTTTATTCAGAGGCCTAAACTGAGCAAAAAACACCACACGTAGAATAAAAACGAACACGTTCATTTTTATTCTATGTGTGGAGAAAATAAAATCTGTTGGAAAAGAAATAAATCAGAAAAATAAATTACAACATAATATAGAAAAAAATGCTATGTAAAAAAAATAAAATCAAATGCATATAAATATCAGTCACTCTAAGTCTTCCAATAATGTCTTAGTAATATGATATTTAAATGCTTAGTTTTATGATCAAAGCTCTGTAGTTTTTTTTTTTTTTTTTTGTGGAGGCAAAACATATAATGCAATGCAATATGATGATGACAAAAGTTGTATATTTGATATTTTAACATGATTTAAAAAATAAATTATCTATGGATAATCAAGTAAACCTAATATGCTTCAGTCCAGTAAGTGTTCATCTTGAAAAATCAGTAAAAATTTCGCAACATAAAGACACATGAACCACGACCTGAAGGTGGATGTTTTTAGAATTATACTGAAAGGCCTTTTATTAGCTAAAAAAAGTATAAGGTATCAATCAGACGACAGAAAGCATGTAGTAGATTCAGTTCTGATCATGTTGATAATTTAGAGGCCTTAGAAATTTGCGTATCAAATATAATACAGTAGGCTTTATAGGGTTAACTCCCTCTCCATCTCTTATTATCATGGTCTTCCTCATGTGGCATCTTTAGTGCTCTCTAATGGATTTAGTAAGTGCACTTAAAATCCTTAAGTTGATGCTTCTATATGCGTGTCGTATTGCAGACTTTCCTTCAGCTGCTGTTGAGAAACTGCTGTTGAAGTGTGAAGGACGTGCTGTGTAGCGGTCCATCGACATCTCCCCGCATCCCCAGCCGCCGCCGAGCGAGCCGTTCCCGTGGTTACCAGGGCGGGTGGGCACGACGACGGCACTGATTGAGCTTGCGCTTATAAATAGATCTTGCATAACATCCTCTTGTTGATGCCAAGAGCTTGGATAGACGAGAAGGGGACAGAGGGAGGGGAGGCGGTTGCTGCTTGACCTTTTGATGCTGCTATTAGGGAACTGCGGCTGCCCACATTCACCTGCCCATGCAGAGTCTACTTCCTGTCAGGCTGTGGCTGGTCACCTTACCTGGATAGACTTGATGTATAACAAGCTGAGTGACTTGTAGAAGATACGATGGGTTCGAGGCGTAAGACAGGCCTTGAACATGGATTAGATGATAATAAAAGGCAATATCATATATTTAAAAATGTAATTTATTCCTGTGATGTAAAACTGAATTTTCTGCATTACTCCAGTCTTCAGTGTCACGTGACCCTTTGATGATTTGCTGCTCAAGAAACATTTCTTATTGTTATCAGATGTTGAAAAAAATATTTATTTGCAGTAGAAATCTTTTGTAACATTATAAATGTCCAATTTCATGTAGGAGTTTGTCCTTTAAGTCACCAGCTCGTGATACAGCCTCTTGTTCATTTCTCACATGCATTATGAAGACCCATGTGCGCTTGTGTCATACAGCACATAAAGGTCAGGCAGAAGTCAAGCATGTCTGTTAGAGCACTGAGCTGATCGCATGTGGCTTGTACAACATTGGAAACTCTTACATCGATTCCAGCTGTGCAAATAACATAAGATTCACAACACTCCATGTTACTAGGGATGGGATGGGAACGAGTACCAATATTCTTAAGTATTCAGAAGAGACAGCAATAGTTGATTAATTTAATTTCAGTTATATTATGTATATTTATTTGTTTTTATTTATTTGATATATTTATTTGTTTATTTATTCATTTATTTCTACAAATGTTTTTATTTTTTGCATTTATTTTTATTATTTTTTATTTTAATATTTAATTTAATTTCAATTATATTATATTATGTATATTTAAATTATTATTAGTTATAGATTTATTTGTTTTTTATATTTTTATTTAATTATACATTAATTTTTTATAACAATTTATTTATTGTTTTTGATTTATTTGTATATTTATTTGTTTATTTATGTATTCGTTTATTTTTCTGCAGTTTTATTTCTGCATTTATTTTTATTAATTATTTTTTATTTTAATTTTATTTAACTTAATTATGAATTATATTATGTATTTTTAAATTATTATTAGTTATGCATTTATTTGTTGTGTATTTTATATATTTATTTATTCATTTATTTTTTATTAATTCATTTTTATATCCCCTCCGCCACTCAGCTGATTACTGACTTATGTAAGGGGGGAAAAAAAACGAGTGAAAGTAGGACAGGATATACCAGAGAAAAACACTACATAACCAGTGGGACACTTTTATTCATTTATTATAGGAAGCTGAAAGTTTTCCTTTAATATTTACATTGGGATGTTGTATTATTAAAACGCAGTTCAATTTGGCAGCACCTAATTTTTGTGTTCAGCTGTGTGAATTGTGTGCTTGTGCTGCTTGTTTGTGAAATTGTATCGACTGTGCCAGCCTTGTAGCGCTTGGGACGGCGTGGAGACAGATAGTGTAAAATCAGGTGAGCTGAGGGAGGCACTCCAGGCATTTAACAACTAGATAAATGTAATAAATTATACATACACACATATACAGTATAGTGAAGAAGTATCCATCCATCCATCTATCTATCATCATATATAAAATACACTAAATATATATTTGATGAAAACTATTATAAAAAAATAATAAAAGAAATTATACACATATATATAATTTATATTTTACATTTATTTATATTGTTTATTGATATAAATTTAACAACTAGATAAATTGCATAAATTATTCAGACATACATATATATACATATATAATATTTTTAGATATAAAAAAGAATACAATATAGAAAAAAATATATATTTTTTTGTCAAATTCTTCATTCATTTCTTTATGCATATTTTATTCAGTTCTGAAAAGAATGTTATTGTTTTTCCTGGTATTTGTGTGATTTGTGTTTAGATGACATGCTAACACCAAACTATCCAAACTATTGGAATCATTTATGTTCTGAGTTCCATTTCATTCTAAAGGTCAGCGATAGAGATCATGAAAAACTAAATTATAAATTAACTAAAAAAACGTAACTAACTAAACTAAAATAAAATAAAAACTAAATTAAAAATAATTTTTTTTCCCCCCTACCTATCCCTCCAGCGGTCATTTTTCTGCCGTCTGACAGGCGACAGTAAGTCAGAGAAGTTCTTTAAAGTGTTTTACGAGCGGATGAAGCTGGCCCAGCAAGAGATAAAGGCAACTGTGACGGTGAACACCAGTGATCTGGGCAGCAAGCGCAAAGACGAGGACGCCAACGACAAGGACACCCAAACACGCAAGAAAGGTCAGGGCTCAGCACACCTGACCATAAACTACACATACCACTACACGTGATTATAATGTATACAATTATACCATGATGTAACCCGGACATGCAAAAGCATATCGTACTAAACAAATACAACCCTCCCCATTTTTCAGTCAAGGAGGTTGCTGTAGTAACCGAGGAAGTGCGAGAGCAACTTATTGAAGCTTCTACGGCCACTAAGAAGGCCTTCACCACTTACCGAAGGGAGGCAGACGCAGATGAGCATCTGAATGTGGCAGAGGGGCAGAGCAGCACAGGAGAGAAGAACCAGGATGACAATGAGATGAGCGTGATCATAACCACCATGCAGCCAATCCTGCGCCTTCTGCAGCTCCTTTGTGAGAACCACAACCGTGAACTGCAGGTCAGCTGCTGTACTAGAGAATATTTTGAGAAAACTAGCATTGATAGTGCTAACTAAGTTTCCCAAATGTTGCTAACTAAAAAAGTAGCTTGTCCAGCTGTATTTACATGTAGTTATTGGTTATTTCTCTAAGGAACTGTATGTTCATATTCATTCAACTCAACATGAAATGTTATTTGCAAGCCGTTTTATTTCCCTAATGTGGTGTTTTTCTCAGTGAAAAGGGATATTTGAGAAAAGACTGTAGGAAGGTGCTTAATTTCATCCATCAGCAACTGATTAAATTGGGAAAAGTGGATACCAGAAAGGATTGAGCAATTAAAGGTTCAGAAGCTTTGTTAGCTTAAAAGGTTAAAATATTACAATAAAAGGTTGTGAAGACAGCATTTAATTTCTGTCAAATAACATGCACTGATGAATTGTACACAGTAAGACTAGGAATGTGTGTTTGGGAAAGTAAATGGAGTTTATTTATAAAGCCAGACTGCAGAATGTGAGAAATGTCTCTCAGTTTTGGTATAGCTTCTAAAGGCGTGTTTCATGCTAGTTTCAAAATAATTAGCTAATAATTTTGTCAATTGTTTCAGAATGATTTCCTTCCTTGCTTATTGTTTGCATCTTGAACTTTTTACATTACATCACACTGCAGATGTTTACAGCAATACAACGTAAATATATAAAGAAATTTTTTTTTAATCGAATTTATATATTTTATTCAATACTGAACCGTTTCAATAGTACAATGCAAGAAAAACAGATTTTTTTTATCTTCTAAAGAAGAATCTCATGCTAGTTTCACAATTAGCTTATCATTAACTACTTGGTGAATTGTTTTAGAATTATTTCCTTGCTTACCTAATGTTTGTAGTTTTAACTTTTTACATAACCCGTTTCACTTACAACATAAACATGTTTTTATAATTTTACCTCTTCGATCTGACATTCTCAAAGTCCTTGAAGAAAAAAATACATATGAAAGAAATCTGAAACCCCTTTTTGGTCCAAAGAATTATGACTCTTGATTGAATCTAAATCCTATTCCATATCATACTTAGAGTTATATATTGACTCTGTCTGTGCTTCCTTTTGCTCTAATGTGACTTATAAATACAAAAGCATGTCCCTCATTTCCTGTTTTTCTCGCTTGTTCTCTAGAACTTCCTTCGCTGTCAAAACAACAAAAACAACTACAACTTGGTGTGTGAGACGCTGCAGTTCCTGGATTGTATATGTGGCAGCACTACAGGAGGTCTGGGGCTGCTGGGGCTTTATATTAATGAGAAGAACGTCGCTCTCATAAACCAGACTGTGGAGAGCCTGACAGAGTACTGCCAGGGCCCTTGCCATGAAAACCAGGTGGACCTGACACATCCACACCCTCTTTCTATTCCATACTTTAAAGAAATAGTTCATCCAAGAATGAAAATTCGGTTGTCATTTACTCTCACCAAAAAAGCATCATAATATTATTTTATGAATAAGTGAGCACTGTGTTCAAAGTCTACTTAGGCTCCTGATGATTTTGGGAAACGCAGCTCTGAACAGTCTGATTCGAAAAATACAGTAATCATTTAGACGGGATCCATTGATTCTTTTGTGAATTAGATGTAATTTGTAAATCTCTTCTTGTCTCATTAACTCAAAACACCAAGGAGGGTAAATGATGCCAGAATTTTAATTATTGATTGAACTTTCGCTTTAAGATTTTGCAGCCTTAGACGCACGTACACTATATACCCACTATTGTCTACTCAAGATGATGGCAAAATCTTTCTTTGTGTTTCGGGGCTAGGCATTATGCAACTTTTCATAGGACATTCATAAAGGGGCTGATTATCTTCATTGTCCTACTTTTCTAAGAGGAAATGTAGTTTACTTGTATGACGACAATTTGCTTTTGTCCTGTAATGATTAGATGATTAGTCTCATGGAAGCAATCTGTTCCAGGGCCATGATTGCTTAATTGCAGGTTGATTTTCATATTAAACGTTTAGGAATTTTTTTTTTTGGCAGCTTTTGTTTAAATTGTTTGGCCTTTTAACACTCAATTCTTTAGCTTATTTTCACTTCTAAAAAGTGATGTTCCTAATATAGAATATATATATATTTATTATTTATTTTTTTTATTATTGTTATTATTTTTTAAAGAAATTAATACTAAAAGATGCATTAAATTGACCTAAAGTGACAGTGAAGACTTTTGCATTATTTTAAAAAATTAAATAATAAATTCTGTTGAAAAATGAAAAAATTCAGCTTTGCATCACAGGAATAAATTACATTTTAAAATATATTAAAATAAAAAAAAACAGTTATTTTTAATTGTTATAATATTTCACACTTTTTTAAAAATTAAAGTAGTCTAAAAATTAAAATAAACAGTCTTACCAACACCAAACTTTTGAAAGAGTTTATGTTTAACATATTTTCCCTTCAGAATTGTATTGCCACGCATGAATGTAACGGCATTGACATCATCATCGCTCTCATCCTCAATGACATCAACCCTCTTGGAAAAAAGAGGATGGACTTGGTCCTGGAGCTCAAGGTGTGAGAACACTTCCACAGCATTATGGGATATGTCGTTTTCACTTTAGTCCAAAATAATTGACGTGAATCGTCTTTTTGTTGCAGAATAACGCCTCAAAACTGCTACTGGCCATCATGGAAAGCCGCCACGACAGTGAGAATGCGGAGCGAATCCTGTATAACATGAGGCCTAAAGAACTGGTGAATGGCTCTTTGCATTGAAAACACATCTTTCTCCGGTTCCAGCTGGCAGATTTTCTGTTTTGCATTTGGTGACAAACCATCTACTGTCATTATTTAAATGTTTGGTTGGTGTACAGGTGGAGGTGATCAAAAAGGCCTACATGCAGGGAGAAATTGAGGTAGAACACAACGATGATGATGAGCACGGTGAGGAAGAGCACGCCGCTTCTCCACGAAATGTGGGTCACAACATCTACATCCTGGCCCATCAGGTGACGCACACAAATATGCACTTACACACACTTTCACTGCGTTCACTGTGTCAGATGTCAGGATTATATCACGTCTTCCCCTCCCCTGTGCGCTTTAGTATAGATTTTCAGCCTATTCACATAATTATCTGGGTCATCGTCAGAGGATCAGTTATTTAACCATGTTAGGAATGGTGCAGCTTTTCCACCGGCCCTCCAAATGACACTGTTTGAAATCAGAAGTTGGTGAATAAAAAGACCAGGGAACAAAACCTATATTAGACAGGGCCCTTTGATTTATTTTTACCCAAATAATAGAGAAATATGCTTTTACAGGTTGAGGCTCAGTCCATCTGTGGTGGCTACACTGGCCGTGTTTTTTAAACAGAGTTTATTGGTTCACTGCTGGGCTTTGACCCTCAATTCTTATCGTAATTGGGTCATTATGAGAATTTTGAATGGCTTTTTAGCTGTTGGAGAAGGAGATCAATGGCCAGATTTACTAACAGCTTGTGCCAGCGCAAACTGTCTTTTGGTGTTAAACTAGTACTGTCAGGATTTACTAAAGACGCTCAGTGAAGAATTAGCACTGAAAAGGCATGGACGCTGTTATTTTTGCGCCTGACCTTATTGAATATGCATTTGTTAGAGTTTCCCTTTCAGACGCAAAATTTATGGGAGGAGAGTATTGAACTGAATTGCGCAACGTGATTTATGCTTGCGCTCGTCAAATTACTGGTATTTGCCCTATTATTTAATGCTCCATTTGTGCATTGTCAGTAAATCACCCACAGAAATTTCCACTCCCATTAGCGGTTTTTTTGGAATTGCGCTCTCACGCTAATTTGCCCTGTTTAGTAAATCTGGCCCCAAATTTAGGTAAATAATGTTAAAAATGTAATAAAATAAAAAGATACATAATACATTTTTTCCACACAAATATGTGAAAAATAATAAGTAAAGTAATTAAATTAGTCATTAATCACAATATAAGCAGATTAAATAGAGGAATATACACATATCTTTATTTATATAAAACACTGAATAGATAAAAACAGAAAAAATACAATACAATAGATATAAAGTGGCTGTCAAAGTCAACATATCTTTTGTTTTATTTCCATATGTTTAAGCATCAGTCAAATCCCTTATTATAGAATTTGCATTTAGGCCAGCAGCATATCAGTCATTTTTCTCATTCAGGTTAACGACTGTAAATGAAGGGCCAACAGTTTGAAGAAAATATTGCATAGCGAGTTAAAAGTTAAATAATCTGCACGCTTATAGCTACCCGAATAACATCATATACTGAGGTTTGTTACTGTCAAAGTAAAATAAGAATTAAAAAAAAATGCACCAATGCAGGCAACTAAAGTTTGAAAGCCTCAGACTTTTGTGTTGCAGTTGTGACACAGTGTTATTTATCATCATCTAAAGGTTTTAGATTGGTAAAATGTTTCATATTTGCTTGAGGTATGGGTGGCATGATTACCATGGTGTATTATAAGATTAAGGAATGAAACCTTTTATGTGAACAGTACAGCACATTTGACATCATATTCTGAAACATTCATAAATTAGGTATGTTATTATTTTATAGTAACCTACGTATTGGGCAGATATGAGTTCAGGTTTGCGCTCTTCAGTTCGAGCAAGCATTCTCAGACAGGCGTTGGCTTTTCGCTGATGGTAAAGTGTGTTATGAGCAAAACAGCAAGGCCAGACAGGTGATTACAACATATATACACTGTCTCAATGAAAACAAGCACAGCCTCATCCCTTTTTCCACATGCACCCACAGCTAGCCAGACACAACAAGGAACTCCAGGCCATGCTGAAGCCAGGAGGGACGTATGGGGAGGGAGATGAAGCTTTAGAGCACTACGCCAAACACACAGCACAAATCGAGGTCAGTGGTGTCCATCTATGGTGGCCATTATGCATACAGCATCCATAGTTTCTCAGACTTGAGTACACAATCATCATTATTAATATTGTTCATTTGTTGAAAAACACTGACGTTTATGCTACGGACATGAAGCAATCTTTTCAAAGTGATTAGATTTACAAATTTCACCTGGCGAACAAAAACATGAACAAAAAAATCCTATAGACTTGTATTGTAGCGACCAGAATATCATAGATTTTTTTTTACACAGAACACACTAAAAATCCTCTGAAAACCTTAGCAATTGCATAGCATAGCAACAGAAAATAAAAAAATAGTCCTATTATGCCAAAGTTTGTTCATATACAATTTTAATTGCTATATGTTGTGTTTATCTTAAATAAATAGCTTTGTCCCTTATAGTATGGTTACATTTACCATTGCTTTGCAAAATTTTTGCGGGCAAAATCCCATTTCAAAGCATCTATGCAATCGGGAGTTTCGCGGAATGGCAAAAACATTTCCTACACAGATTTCGCTCCTGTATAATTTTGTTACATAAATTCACCAAATAGTCCAACATAAAGCTGCTTGGTTTGATAGTGACTTTTTGAAGCAATGCTATCACTATTGACATTGGATAGTGGACCTTTCTTTACTTTTGAAAATTCGCTGAAATTTCGCTAATGTGATTGCACCATTAGAGGCGACAAGAAAAAAACAAAACAGCAACTCTGTTTGTAAGTTCTAACCACCACTATAGCCAATCCAGACAGCTTGCAACATCTGTTTTTCCCTTACAGATCGTCCGCCTGGATCGCACAATGGAGCAAATAGTTTTTCCCGTCCCCAACATTTGCGAATTCCTAACCCAGGAGTCTAAGCTCCGCGTCTATTACACCACGGAGCGTGACGAGCAGGGCAGCAAGATCAATGACTTCTTCTTACGCTCCGAAGACCTCTTCAACGAGATGAACTGGCAGAAGAAGCTGCGAGGTACTCAAGAGGCCACTGGTAACGCAAACTCCGTGCCTTGTGCGTGCGCACTCCCTTCCTCTACAACCTAGTAAGCTGCTTTACACGCCCTCTCCACTCCCTCAGCCTCCAGGGACCCATCAGGGCTCTTTTCATGCAGTGCGCCCTGCTTTTGGGTGCCGGGATGCATGCCTCACCCTGACCCCTCAAGCCAGGGCAGTGGGGGAGGGGGTGTAAACGTTAACTTACGTAAGATAGACAAGATAAAACCTGTAACTAAAAATTGTTTAGGCTTGCTTAAGATTTTAGTTTTGTGTGCGCTTGAAGGATTGGGAAACAAAGAAGGAAGATGAGTCAGGGAGAAGTGTGAATGGATCCCAAACAAACACACATGGCGGCTTACATCACAAAAGCTGATTACGGAAATAAGCTGAGCGAGGGATCAAATAAACAGATGATGGGAAGCAAGAAACTCTTAAACCCATTTTCCACCAACCAGGTGCTGGTGACCAATCTGGAACCATTTCCAACTGGCTCTGCACCAGCCCTTAAAACCTGCTGGTTTTAAAGCCTGCTTGAACCAGAAACTGATCAAAGGTCGAGGTTGGGATAATGGCCACGCTGAATTGGGATGTCAAAGTACTAGAATATTTAAAAAAAGAATAATCTCAAAGGTACCGAAACCGGATTAAATTAGCCAGTACCCGTGCGCTTTTGACTGTTGCATTTCGAAATTCGGCTTCTGTGGAAAAGGATTTGGAAAGGTGAGGCAAGGATGGGTAGAAAATGGGTTATTTTGAAAAGGATAAGAGTTCTCAGACAGGAAGAGCATGAGGTGAACCGCAATAAGATAAAACCTGCAAGATAAGGATCTGAACCATGTCAAAAAGCAGATCGACAGACGGAGGGCTTTGCGACAGCTATTTTTTCTTGCATGGGACATTTGGCCACAGTTCTTGTTTGTTTCTTTGAGTCTTTTGGTCATGAGTTGCTAATAAAAAGGAGGGTGTGAATTCCGTGTTAGTTAGTAATGCACCTATGTGACTGACATGTGAAGGTTTTTATCAGACTGAATCAAAGTAGAAGCAATGTTCCATTGCCGCAACCCCAAGTCATGAGTGTGGCGGCCTGTGTGTGAAAGTCCCCTCCTCCAGTTCCTCTTTTCAGACAAAAACCCCCTGTCAAAATAGCCATAGCACAGAAACTAAATCCTCCAGCCAGACTCCTCAAAGAGTCATGGGTCAAAACAAAGGTGGCGGTTGAGGTCAGCAAGCTCTCGTATATGGTTTGGCCCCACTAAGGAACCCTTTGAACTCTTTGGTCATATTTCTATGGTTTTTGATTTCAATTTTAGGTGCGGGTGGTGAAATTGCTCTATAAAACTGCACAACTGACCAAACAGCTTCTATCTTAATTCAATACGTGTTTTATTTGGAATAACATTGTTGAACTAAAACAAAATTATATTTTCAAAGGAATTCTAGAAGTAACAAGGTTAGTGCATTGGATGTTGTCCTGATTGGATGTAATTGGAAATGTGCATGGTCAGCTGGATCACATTTGAGCTTGAGATCAATTAGAATTGGTCCTTGAGATTGCCATGGAAACTTAACGCACAACTGTCCTTGTGTTGTTTAGTAGAAGGCTGTAGAATGACATAATGCAATCAATCACCTAAAAAAAAAAAATAAATAAAAAACAATTCAACTTGGAAGAAATAAAAGATGAGCAGTGCCCCTTGGAACTTGTTAGTGACATCATCCGTTATTTCTTCCCAGTAGGCATTGTCGTATTACGTAGGATTATTTTCTTTCTTCAAACCACAGTGCATTACATTTTTCTGTATAGAGAAACAGGCAGTTTTAAAGGTGCAATGTGTAATTTCTGACTTACTGCCGAAACCAAACAGAATTGCAAAAAGAATGACTTTTCACACTAATTTCAAACACTGCCATCATCCATTGTTCAGGCAACCAGGTGATCCTGCTCCAAATTCACACAATTGGTTTGAACCAATGTCGTTGTGTCAGTGCTCAAACGCAAGTGCTTGTTTGAATATCAGCAAATGGTTCCTAATAAAATCTGTCCGTTTGTGTTTGTGACAGAACTAGGCATGGGCCGGTATGAGATTTTGACGGTATGATAACCTTAAGCAAACATATCACGGTATTGTCCTTACAGCTCTAAAATGTGTTATTTTTAAATGACTGGGTAAAAAATAAAATAAAAATTCCGCTGAACACAATATATTTTGCTTTTGAGCAAAATACAGAATATTAGGAACAGTAGAATTTGTTTATTTTTTCTTTGATTTGTTTCCTAAAAAGAAGAAAAATAAAGACGAACATATTTATTTAACCTAAATCTGTAATTACAGTTATTTAATTTTAGTTATATAATTCATATCATTTATATAATTTCATATCCTTTAGTTATATAATTGACGAGATTAAAAGAAAATACCACGTAAACTTTTCTGAAGTTCCCCTCAGAAACACATTCATATAAACCCCCAAATCAATATTGAGGATTTTCTTCCAATAGTTTGTGCATCATGAACAGTGAGTGATCTGCCTGCTACAGTATTTTTCTCTTTGCGTCAGTCTTCAGCGTCTCTGGCGCGTTCGTCTTCAGCGTCTCGGGCCTGTGTTAACGGGCGTTTACCGTCTTCATATTTTCACATAAATTACATTTTGGAAAATGATTGCATTGCAATGCAATTTGTGCAAGTCCAGAACAGAGACGAGTTGCAATAAGAGAAAAAAAACGGCCGATCGCGTAAATTCCAGGGGCAGCTTCTTAATTTCGGCCATCCTACACACATGTGACTGACCGCTCGCTCGAACCAACAGGAGGAGGAGAGTCGTGTTACTCTCTACACTGCACTCAACCTGAGGGATTCTTACACGTTCAGTCTTTGAGGAGACATGAAAAACAGCGCATACCGCAGGAGCGGTATAACGGAAAATATTAGTGGTTTTGAAACCGTGAAATTTTCAAACCGTGGTATACCTTGAAACCGGTAATCGGCCCATGCCTAGACAGAACCATGTATGTGGAGCTCTGACATGGTGTGCATCAGGGGTGTAGTATTGGACCCTTTTAGTTTTGTGATAGCATCCAAATAAACACTCTGCAAAGGTGCAAATTGTACTGTGTTAGTGTACATGTCCCTTTAACATTTGGAATTGAATTTTTTTTTCTTGCTGCCTCCTCTAGCTCAGCCCATCCTGTACTGGTGTTCCCGTAACATGTCCTTTTGGAGCAGCATCTCCTTTAATCTCGCCGTCCTCATGAACCTGTTGGTAGCATTCTTCTATCCACTGGAAGGAGTGCGTGGAGGTGAGACACAAGTATTTTTACTGTTTGCCATGAAATTCTGTACAAATGTAATTTGTATTTCTTTTCATATAATGTATATAAATATAATCACATAAAAATATTATATTATAAAAGAAAAAAAATAAATATAATTTTAAGTATAAATATAATTTCTGAAGTATTATAATATATTATATTTATAATATATTGTACTATAATAAAGTTATATTATAATATATATCAGGGGTGGTTTCTTCATTAGGGCGATAGGGCGACACACCAAGTACAAAAGGGAGGGATTTTTTTTCTATCACATTCAACCAAATCTGTCACTGTTCTAGGCTGTTTGTTCTGCCTCTGGATATATAGTCCAATCATCGTCAAGTCACTTTGTGTTGAGTACCACCCCTTTTTGGGTGATTTCACTATGGCCAGGAATCGCCCCGTGTTCTCGAGGGCTGGGTTCCAGTTCATTTTTTTTATGCCCTTCACTCGCTAACTTCCCTCCATCTCATTAGCTCGTATGTACGTCATTGATTACGTCGCATGAGTGTCCACTGCTGGAGGAACCTTTGCAATGGGCTGAATTGGAACATCCTAGGCCCTTGATCACTTTGAATCTTCCATGGAGTTGATTAATTATTCAAATTTTTTCCCTTACGAATTTGTTTGATGCAGTATTCTATATGTATACTGGTATGCTTAGGTTGTTATAAATGTTTTTAAAAAATTATATATTATAGAGTTGTTTGGGGTGGGGATAAATTAAACGCAATCTGCGATGACGTCACAATCGTGTTGCATTGTGGTCTATGGAGCGGCCTGAAGTGTGCATATGAAGTAGCAGTCCCTCAGTCAAAGTCAAAGGGTCGAGGGTCTGTCCATATAAACTTTCCTCCTCCACTTTATGAAGTGGAACGCACTTAAAAATGGCAGCGAGGATTCCCCCGAGGGGAACTGCATAGGGAAGTTTGCGAGTTGAACGCAGCCAAAGACTTCCATACAAAGATTTTTTTTTTTCGAACTGCAGGCACAATACTATGCCCTTATAGTATGTACTCTTTTGGTGAAGAAAAAGTACACACTTTTGAGTGTGTAGTAGAAGAGTAGGCAAGCTTTGGGACATACTATCACATCATACAATACTCTGATCATATTTTTATTAATATTTTGGTTAATTTTTATAAATTTTTTTCTACCAGGTTAAATGTTGATTATTAGTAACTCAAACCCTTTTATCTAAACCTCTCTAGTTAACTGTTGGTCGCGCACATCTGCCATTTTTTTGTTTGTTTTTTAACGCTTTTTATTTGTGTTTGTAGTTCTGAACTGAATCCTTCACCGAAGCACAATGGATTGCGGGTAATATTAGCCATTAGAGGGTGCACGGATCCACACTTCAAAAATCTACCTGAAATAGTAGACCATCCAGGGACTTTTGGCATACTCTTTTCAACATACTATGCTTTGGGACACACTTAAAGGGATAGTTCACCCAAAAATGAAAATTCTGTCATTAATTACTCACCCTCATGTCGTTTCAAACCCGTAAGACCTTCGTTCATCTTCGGAACACAAATTAAGATATTTTTGATGGAATCTGAGAGCTGTCTGACCTTGCATAGACAGCAATACAACTGAAATGTTCCCAAGTCCAGAGACATAGCAAGGAGATCTGTAAAATAATCCATGGCTGCGTTTACACTTGGCATTAACATGCGACCTGTATCCGGATGTTGTCCACAT